TTCAAGAAAATTTAGTTTTAAATTACATGGATACAGACCCATTTATCTATACTATAAAAACTAACGATTTTTAGAAGGATATTCGTAATGATATTGAATCAAAATTTGATTCATCCGATTATTCAGAAGAAGAAGCGATTTTTATATGTAATTTTAAAAAAGTTAATAAAAAGAGGTTAGGATATTTTAAAGATGAGTTGAATGGAAAACCAATGAGTGTGTTTAGGTGAGGGGACATTGTGCCGCCGCTCATCCACGCTGAAGAGCGCATCCACGCTGAAGAGCGCATCGGCGCTGAAGAGCGCACCCGCGCTGAAGAGCGCATCCGCCCTCGCCCCTCTCTGCACAATCTTGCACTCTCGCTCTCTCGGGTCCAACTGCAGCGGTCGGCCGTCGGCGATCGTCTTTTTTCTTATGCTAAGCTAAGTTAAGTCAGTTTTTCTGCATGAAGTGAATAAAGCTGACGGCTCACTCCACGACGCCCCCGACTTCATCTTATCTGCAATCAAGAGGCATCTTTTTGTGGCAACACCGCCCCACTACAACATTTTGGTCCTTCGAGCGGATTCGGATTTTCTGGATATTCTGGATATTTTGGGTATTCTGGATACCTTTTCTACCAGCAGTTCCCGGCAGTGTTCCGCCAAAAGATAAGTACGACATTTTTTTCCGTCTCCGTCTCTCTGCCGGTCTTCAGCAGTGGTCCGAACATTAAATTTTGTTCACACTGCTGCAAGATTTTGTTTTCCTTCCGTGTCAACTCCAAGTCCGAGTTTTCCGACACAACGGCAGTGTGTGATTTTCTACTTTTCATCGTCTTCAAATTCTGCAAATTTTTCCTCGCCGTTTTCGCCCTCCCCGTTATTTGCTATTCCGCTTGCCAACGGTCGAGGCATATGGGCAAACATATAATATACACACATACAACCATACATTTTCTGTTTTTTTGGTGCAATTAATCCGCGAAAAAATTGACCAAGTGAACAGTGAAATTGTGTGGTGACAAAAATAAGGCATAATTATTATTGGCCAGCCGGTGTGATTTAGTTCCGAAAATTCCTAAATTCATTTAACAGTCCGCCGCTGGTGTAATATTTTTTTCAAAATCAGTGTTTTTTTTTACACCACACAGCTTTCCAGTTATACAGTCCATTTATCAACGCTCCTCTGTGCCAACCTAGGCCTCACGTTCCCTTACATATATACATACTTACATGCATGCCATATACTTTCTGCCTCCAATTTCAGGAAATAAATACATGATAAAATTAAATTTAAATAAAATCTGTTTTAAAAAAAACGCCATTTCACTACAAATCCGTGATTGTGTCGCCTAAGTTCTCAACCTCGCCGCCTCAGTAGCCGTGTTTTGTTTTTTTTTGGTGCTGTTTTTCCTTTGCGGTGAATTACGAACGGTACTTGTCCATTCTCCGTGCCTATACCGCGCCTACAATCTCAACAAACCTCGTCTACTTCTCGGTTGTTTTTTTGGTTCCTGAAGTTTTTTTTTCACATTCGATTTGTGCCGTACACGATCTTCCTTTCGACATCGGCGCCGCTAGTGCCCACTAGTTCCTTGTGATCGCAATCCATCCGCGATCTCACCGTTCTTATCACTTGTGTGTGTGACCAGCCACCGATTCGAACGAGGCCCCTATTGCGCAAGTCAGTCGACAAGCGCTTACCAGCGAATTGATTTTTGAGAATGCCCACGGGAGACGACAAAAATCGGCGTCCGATCCCAGCCATCAGCTTGGACAGATCTCAATCCGCATCTCCGCTGACGCCTCTTTTGAAGCCTAAGGCGACAAGGGCCATTCCAAGGGCAAAGAGTGACGAAAACGTCAAAACAATCCCCGATCCTTCACAGAGGCAGACTCGCTCCGTTGTAAAAATGGCTCAAAATGCGGTCATCGCTACAACAGATCGAATCAGCCAATTTGAGGCCAACATCAATACCGCGGGCGCCCCAGAAACGGAAATAGGCTCCCAATACATGTGCGAAGTCCATCGAGACCAAATTCGGGCACTCTGGGAGAAGGTGGAGAAGTGCTATGAGAGCTGCCCGACTTGCTAGCCGTGTCCGACGACAATTCGGCCACCTCAGCAGTGCTGGAATCGAAGCTACTGTTACTCCGTATATTCGAGGTGTATTGCCCAGCTTCGGGAGAAAATTGCCTCCCAATTCACTCAGGCTTCCGTCAATGTCCACACGCCCGCGTCTACAGGCTGTCGGTTACCTCCAGTGGATACCGAGGTCTTTGCGGGTTATTACCTTCGGTGGCCCACCTTTAGAGACTTGTTCACGGCCATTTACATCCAAAACTCGCGGCTCACTCCGTTAGAGAAGTTGTTCCACTTGCGGTCCAAAACAAGTGGTGACGCACACGCCATTGTTTCTAAGGCTCCGCTTACCCATGAGGGGTTTGTCGCAGCTAGGCAAAGCCTCACAGACCGTTTTGAGAACCGGCGGCTATTGGTCAATAGCCAGTTGAAGATCCTTTTCAACCTCCAGGCTATTTCTCAAGAGTCTGGGGTCGCGCTGAGGGAACTGCAAGCCACCATTCAGAGTTGTCTGACAGCCCTAGAAATTTCAGCCATCAATGTTGAGGCCTGGGGTTGTCTCCTGGTCTTTATGATTTCCTCGAAGCTCCCCAAGGTCACACTTTCTATGTGGGAGCAATCCGTTCATAATAAGGCCGAAATTCCAACATGGAAGGAATTAGATAACTTCCTGACAGAGCGCCATCGCACTCTGGAGGCCATCGACGACGTCAGGCCTAGTGGCTCCGGGCAATCTCCGCCAAGGTCGGGGCTTCCTACTGCCCCTGCACGGAGGCTCAATTCGTACGAGACTCGAGTGGCTAGGAGCCAAAAGGGATGCGATCTCTGTTCGAGGGAGAACCACCCTATCCACTTATGTCCGCGTTTCCTAGAAATGAACGTGGACGGACGCTCCGACTACATTAAGAGGAAGCAGTTATGCTTGAACTGTTTTGCCCGAGAGCACCAGCAGCGAGACTGCCTGCCCCATACCTGCTTCACATGCCACAGCCGACACCACACCCTCCTGCACCGCAGCAATCCGTTCGCTACCGCTCCAAGTCCGCCTACTTCAGCAAGGGCTCGACCCGCACAAACTGTCAGAAGCACAAACGGCTCAGAGGATCAGTCGGATGTGCAGGTGTGCTACTACTGGTCGCGGCCCTTATCTACGTGTGCCATTTGGGCTGCAGTTTACAGGCACGAGCACTGATAGACTCAGGGTCCGAAGCGACGTTCATAACTGAACAACTGTTCAACCTTGTCAAGCTTCCCTTCAAGACTATTCAAGCCGAAGTGTCCGGTCTTAATCAGACCATTTCCGCGCAGTCTACTAAATTGTGCCATTTCTCCATCTGGTCGCCGTCTAGACCCGGGTTACAATTAGAGACTGCGGCTTACGTTCTTCCGCAGTTGGCAGGAAATCTGCCATCATATCCGATTCCCCGGGATCGTCTCAAGGGGCTGCCTGACATTCCCCTGACGGACCCCAACTTCTTTAAAAGCTCCCAAGTCGATGTGTTAATAGGAGCTGACATTCTTCCGTCCATTCTCCTCGGTAATACCAGGGCTAACATCTGCGGGTCACTTCGGTCAGGAAACCATTTTTGGATGGATGCTGACAGGACCATTATCTCCAGCCAACCCTCGCAGCGTGTCCGTTTTTTCCACACGAGTTGCCTGTAGCCCCGGTGACTCGCTGGATCAGCTCCTCACCAAATTTTGGGAGGTAGAGGATGTTCCCACACAGATCAATTCGGAATCAGATTCAGTTTGCGAGCACAATTTTGTCCAGACGACGAGAAGAGACGAGTGTGGCAAGTACGTTGTGAGGTCACCTTACGCGACCCCGAGCAGAAGGGTTCCGAGCTATCGGCTTCACGGTCCTTTGCTTTTGCTCAGTTCCTGCGTAATGAGCAGCGCCTGAAGAGGGATCCGCCCCTTAAGGCCCTCTAGGACTCGGTAATTCAGGAATACATCGACTTAGGCCACATGACCGAGGTCTCTCCCACGAGCAGTTCCGCTACCTACTACCTCCCACATCATGCCGTCTTCAAGCCCGAAAGCACGACCACCAAGGTGCCGGTAGTCTTCAATGCTTCGAGCCCGTCCGCAAACGGGACCAGTCTGAACGAACGACTCCAAAAGCGAAGCCCAAGTGGTGATTCGGGAGCTATAGGCCGCCCTAGAGTCGGCAGGGGCACTGAGGAAATGGACGTCGAATAGCAAGGCGATCCTGGCCGACATTCCGAGAGACCACCTCCTTCGTGCTGATTTCCTCGACATCGATGCAGAGAGCACGGCCAAGACACTGGGCGTGCGCTGGAAAGCGACGAGCGATGAATTTTTTTTGTTCCGCCAGAGTTGACTTCCGGCTCGTCCTTCACGAAGCGGCAAGTCCTCTCCCAAATTGCCAAATTGTTCTATCCAGCAGGTTGGCTCGCTCCTTTCATTGTCCGGGCAAAAATGTTCATGCAGGACATTTGGCTTCTGGATCTGGGGTGGGACGACGCCCTCCCTTAAAATTTCTGTCAGCGATGGGTTGACTTCCTGAAGAATTACTCGGTGCTCGATCAGATTCCTGTTTCTCGATGGGTCGCGTTCCGACCACACCTAAGGGTCGAGCATCACGGGTTCTGCGACGCTTCAGAGAAGGCGTACGGCGCAGCAATTTACGTCCGTGTCGAGGTTGGGTCTACGGTCATAGTGAACCTGCTGACTGCAAAGACTCGAGTGGCCCCAGTTAAAACGGTGTCGCTCCCTCGGCTAGAGCTTGCTGTCGGAAATGGCCACCGCCGTTCTGCCAAAGATGCCAGGGCCAGCATCTGCCCCATACTGTTGGACGGACTCGACTAATGTCCTCGCGTGGCTGCAGAAGCCAGCGTGTCAGTGGACAACGTTCGTGGCCAACCGGGTAGCCAAGATCGCCCAGTTCACCGACGTGCAGAAATGGGGACATGTCCGCTCCGAGCAGAAACCTGCGGACCTCGCCAGCCGGGGCGAAGCTCTCCAAGACCTTGCGGATAACCCGTTTCTCCATACTCGACAAGGTACTACGAGTCCGTGCCTATGTTTGTCGCTTCATCCAGCGCGCGTGGAAGATACGCTCTCCGTTCGAAGAGCACCTGACAGATAATGAGATTACGTCGGCTGAACGTCTTCTAGTTTCCGTCACTCAGCGCAGACACTTCGTCTCTGAAAGGGGCTGCTTAAGCGAAAAGCGTCCAGTATTAGCGTTCAGTCCGATTCAAAATCTGAACCCCTTCATGGATTCGCAAGGCCTTATGAGAGCCTGCGGCCGGGTCACGTCCTCTGAACTTCTCCAATATGACGAACGGCATCCGATAATCCTTCCATACGACTGCCATCTGTCTCGACTCCTTGTTCAATTTACGCATCGCATCACGCTGCACGGTGGCAATCAGCTGATGATCCGCCTGATTCGGGCCAAAGTCTGGATTCCAAGGGTGAGGAATTTGGTCAAGTCCGTCGTCTATGCTTGTAAAGTATGTTTCATCCACAAGAAGAAGTTGCAGACGCAACTCATGGGAGAGCTACCAAAGGAACGGACGTCCTTCTCGCGCCCATTCACGTACACAGGTGTGGATTATGCCGGTCCTTTCGAGATAAAGAACTATACCGGGCGAGACTGCCTCATCACAAAGGGGTATATGTTGGTGTTTGTGTGCTTCTCCACTAAGGCCATCCATTTAGAGCCTACGTCGGACCTTACGACCGAGAAATTTCTGGCTGCTTTCGCTCGATTCGTGTCCCGGAGAGGATGCCCCCGTCAAGTGCAGTCGGACAACGGGAAGACCTTTCGGGGGACAGCAGCCCTACTATCTCGCGATTTTCTCCAGAGCCTAAAAGGGGCTGTGATAGGTGCCTACAGTCACCAGCAGCTTCTCTGGCATTTCATTCCTCCGGGAGCCCCCCACATGGGGGGCCTGTGGGAGGCAGGCGTCAAGAGCTTCAAGACCTTGTTCTTCAAGTCCACCGCCACACGGAAATACACCTTTGAGGTGCTGGCTACTCTCCTGGCGAGGATCGAGGCGTGCCTAAACTCGCGGCCGCTCGCACCAATGTCCGAAGACCCTGCTGATCTGATGGCTCTTACACCCGGGCACTTTCTGGTGTGAGGTCCTCTTCTCGTCACGGTCGAACCCGAGCTAAAGGGGGATACTACGTCAAGTATTAATCGTTGGCAGCACCTGAAGGCTCTTCAACAGCAATTTCGGCTGCGATGGAAGGAAGAGAACCTCAAGGAGCTCCAGAAGAGGAACAAGTGGCGTGCCCCTACGAGGAATCTCTGCGTTGGGGATATGGTGGTCATCAAGGAGGAAAACCTTCCGTCCAATGAGTGGCGATTAGGCAGGATTGACGCGTTGTATCCAGGATCCGATGACCATGTCCGCGTGATCGACATCCGCACCGCGCGAGGGCTCGTCAAGCGGCCCGTCGCTAAGGTCGTCCTTCTTCCGATGGACGCGTCCGCCTGCCCACAATAATTATGCGTTTCTTCCGTTCCAATGTCCCTGTCCATTGTGCTGTCTCGTAGCTCTGCCCGTAATTCCAAATCGAACTTCACACCAATTCTGATAACGCTGTTTTGTTTCTTCATCATAGTTCCGCCTGTCATATTCAGCACGATGTCGCCACGTCCACGCAGCGCCCAGTCATTGGAGAGCAGATGTACTCGAGGTACACAGTCCTACCGATGCCGAGTCTGCAGAGGGATCCATCCTTTGAAGCAATGTCGGCGCTTTCTACGTCTCAGCGCCGAGAAGCGGCTCCGGGCGGTTCTCGTGAACTGCTCCAACTGCCTGGCTCACGAGCACTCCGACGGATAGTGCCGGCGTGGGGACTGCTGTAGAACGTGTGGTCAGGATCACCACTTGCTGCTGCACCTCGTGGAGAAGCCGCGGGCTCGGCAACAGCCGCGTCAAGAGCAGCACCGTTCACGGAGCGCGGGAGACAGTACACGGAGTGTCTCAGCTGGCGCTCAGCCGTCGTCCGTCAACTCCCGGCGCGGTTCGGTTGCTTCTCGGCCGGACTCACAAGCCGGTCCACGGCCATCGACTTTCCGGCGCTCGTCGGCAGCTCCTCAGCATTCTTCCGCCACTGGCCGGCAAGCTTCAGGTGCTCCACGGCCTTCGTCCGCTACTCATCGGGTGCCGTCCACCGCTCGTTCGCCAGCGTCATCCGCGCCTAGGCAACTTTCCGCCTCTCGTCAAGGGACCCCGCAGGATGCAGCTGCGTTCGTGCGCCGTCTCGAGAGCTGAGCGAGCCGGGGCGTGCCCACTTCCGAGGTGTGAAATTGGCGGATGAACGGTTCTATCTGCCAGCGACGATCTCCGATGTCCTGGGCGCGGATATGTACCCGCGGCATAAATACCAGGAGACAGTCCCAAGCCTCAACATTGATGGCGGACATTTCTAGGGCTGTCAGACAACTCTGAATGGTGGCTTGCAACTCCCTCAGCGCGACCCCGGACTCTTGAAAAATAGCCTGGAGGTTGAAAAGGATCTTCAACTGGCAATTGACGAATAGCCGCCGGTTCTCAAAGCGGTCTGTCAGGCTTTGCCACGCTGCGACAAACCCCTCATGGGTAAGCGGAGCCTTAGAAACAATGGCGTGTGCGTCACCACTTGTTTTGGACAGCAAGTGGAACAACTTCTCTACCGAGGTGAGCCCCGAATTTTGGATGTAAATGACCGTAAACAAGTCTCTGAGGGTGGGCCACCAAAGATAATCACCTGCAAAGACCTCCGTATCCACTGGAGATAACCGGCAGCCTGTAGACGCGGGCGTGTGGATATTGACGGAAGCCTGAGTGGATTGGGAGGAAATTTTCTCCCGAAGCTGGGCAATACACCTCGAGTAGACGGAGTAACAGTAGCTGTACTTCGATTCCAGCACTGTTGAGGTGGCCTCATTGTCGTCGGACACGGCTAGCAAATCGGAGCAGCTCTCATAGCACTTCTCCACCTTCTCCCAGAGTGCCCGAATTTGTTCCCGATGGACTTCGCACATGTATTGGGAGCCTATTTCCGTTTCTGGGGCGCCCGGGGTATTTATGTTAGCCTCAAATTGGCTAATTCCATCATGTGTGGCGATGAACTTTTTCAGCGCCACTTCGATCGCACTTTAAGCCATTTGCACAACGGAGCGAGTCTGCCTCTGTGAAGGACCGGGGATTGTATTGACGGATTCGTCACAATAGGTGCTTCGTTCGAAGCGGTGGCCGGTCACACTAATGTGATGAGAACGGTGAGATCGCAGATGGATTGCGATTACAAGGAACTAGTGGGAACTAGCGGCGCCGATGTCGAAAGGAAGGTCGTGCGCAGCAGAAATCGAATATGGAAAAACACTTCAGGAACCAAAACAACCCAAAAGGAGACGAGGTTTGTTGAGATTGTAGGCGGATGTTGCCTGATGCGGAGTAGAAGCAGCGCTGGAGGCACGGAAAATGGACAAGTACCGGAAAATTCGTGCTCGTTCAGAAAAGAATTGATGACGATCTATATATGTATATTTATATAATTGAGGCTCGTACGTAGATATTGAATTCCTAACTATTTTCGAAATTAATTGTTAAGTGGCCGGAAAGGTGAATTAAAAACCCTGGCCTTTCACTCGAACGGAAAATAATAATACAATAAATTGAAGTAGATTTAATTATAAATATATACATTTATAATTAATTGATTTTTTGAATTTATTTGTTACGGAGCCGGGTATGCCGTCGGCACCCTGTACGTAGTTCACCCCAAAGGAAAAAAACAGCACCAAAAAACACAACACGGCTACTGAAGCGGCTAGGTTGAGAATTTAAGCGACACAATAACGGATTTGTAGTGAAATGGCGTTTTAAAATGGTGGGTTTTTGTTAACAAATTTTATTTTAATTTAATTTTATCAGTTATGTATTTCCTGAAATTGGAGGCAGAAAATATATGAAAAAATATTACGGCGGACTGTTCGATGAATTTGGAAATTTTCGGAACTAATTCACACGGCTGGCCAATATTAATAATGCCTTCTTTTTGTCAATTTCAACTGTTCACTTGGTCAATTTTTCGCGGATTAATTACACCAAAAAATATGTATGTTTGTATGTATGTATATTGGATGCACATATGCCTCGACCGTTGGCAAGCGAATAGCGGAATAGCAAATAGCGGGCCGAAAACGGCGAGGAATATGGCGAAGCACACAAAACGGAGACGGATGGAAAAATTTGTAGAATTGGAAGACGAAGAAGAGTAAAACCTCTCAAACTGACGTTGTGTCGGAAAACTCGGACTTGGAGTTGCAGCAGTGTGAACGAAATTTAATGATCGGAAAAATGTCGTACTTATCTTTTGGCGGAACAAATTTGAGCTGTTTTTGACGCCACTAAAATTTGTTCGACTAGTTCATTTACATGATTCCAATATATATAATTTGGTTTGGATTCCTCTAGAGTCATATAACCGAAACCAGTTTTCGTACGAAGTGGAGTGGATGTTTTAGGATTTTCATTATCGTTTATTATTTTTTTTAATAATTTTAGTATATTTAAATGCGCGTGAACCTTTAATTCGACTATTCACGTTATAACCTAATCTGTGAACATAGGTTTCTAAAATAATATTTTTATATGTTTTCAAATCATGATCATTATAATTTTGGGGGTGTTTATGAAATATAAGAGAGTACAGACCAAGAGTTAGCTCGCAACTCATTCCACTAGACAAATGAATCTTATTATCATTAATTTTTAGTTCACTCTTCCCTAAAGTTAATACATTATCTAAACTTTTTTTAGATCCGTAAGCCTTGTCCAATATATTTTTCCGACTCAAATGACTGGTATTAAAATCAAAAACATTTGTTTGTGAAAAGAAATCATTATACGAATCACTATCATTCATAGATCGGTATTGAGATAAGTTTCGTTTTATCTGATGTTGTCTCCTATTGGTTGTATATTACAGATCATAGTCATCTGTCATATAATTAACATTTAACCTTGGCTCCTACATTTGTTTTTAAAAATGTTTTCTTTATATTTTCGTTAACAAGTTCATGTAAAGGTTCTGTAATAGGTTTAAATGTTTCCACCAATTCTTTAACACTTTGATTCTTAACATGTTTTAGATCATCAAACTGTCTCTTCAAGGCAGATGTCGCTTTTGTTAACTGAGCTAACACGTTAATTATTGAAACCTGCATAAATTTAGATAAAGTAAATTTAAAAAAATATATAATCTTTATGTAATCACTCTTCAGTTACTCGATCTATACTGTTTACTGGAAACTATAGCTTCTAATATTTATATCCACCCCATCCATCCCATGAATTAAAAAATGTATTGTTTATATAGATTTTAAAATTGTATTTATTTGACATAATATAAAATATTGGTTTTTTATTATTTATTTTTTTTATATTTTATTTACTTATTTCTAAATATAAATTATCATTCTTTTTATGAATATTCAATTTCCCATCAACCTCCCGAATATGTGTATACCTTTCCGGGGTGTACAGAAAGTAATCCTCCAACTCCAGAACAAGGGATTTTCCAATCTTCATCCTTTTACACTTCGCCTTGAAGATGGGGAACTTTCCATTTTCAGGCATCATTGCCATTGACATTAATGTCAACACAACTAATGAAAAAAAATATTACAAGACTCATATAATCACATAAAGATATATGTTGAGAGTGAACTACGAAATGGCGATCACGTTCGTATCGGCAAGTATAAACATGTGTTTGAAAAAGGGCATACACCGAATTATACAAAAGAAATCTTTAAAATTAGAAAAGTCAACAATACATTCCCCAAAACATACTCACTTGAAGCTTATAAAGGTAATCCGATTCAGGGTTTGTTTTATAAAGAAGAACTCAAAAAGACTGAATTCCCGATCACAATTCTAGTTGAGAAAATTTTTAAGCGAAGAGGTGATAAAGTTTTGGTAAAATGGCGTGGCTTTCCAATGGACGAAGCCAGCTGGGTAAATAAAGATGAAATTTAATATTACAAATATATATATATATTATAACATATAATTAAATTTAATAAATATATTTACATACATATAAATGTACAAGTTTTTAATGTGTATACTAACAATTTTAATAAAATATTATATGCTTTTTACAATTTATTTTTGTTTTACTTACATTTACCACAATTTCGATCAAAATAAAACATTTCCAATTTAATTGACTTATAAAATAATTCTTGTTCTATGTTTACTTGCTTATCTCTAAGTTCATTTAATGTATTGACATCTGTATTTCTCCCATTTCTTATATCTCTGAAAAATATATTTTCAAGTTCTAAGAAATTGATACTATCCACAATGTCCTTTTCCATTAACCTTTTATGTTTTATTGATAGAGTACCATGATCGTCGTGATTTAACATTGTAAACTCTGTATCATTTTGCTTACGTTTTCCTTTACTATCATTAGCACAAAGAACATTCTTATATACCCTATTTGT